AAAGTTATTTAAGGAGATTCATTAAAACCGAATTGCTCTTTTCTCATAAATATGGTAAACAGAAGGGTAATGAAAAGTTTGCAAAATAAGTATTCCCTGATAAATATAATATGTGCTTGGCTCAAGACCTATTTTTGCATTTCGATACAAACCGAATCTTAGTTTAGTCATTCTATGCCAGAATAAGAGGCTATATTCAGTGAGTTGGATTCAGTGATCCCATGAACCCTCTTTCTTTTAGAGAGAGAAATCTAATTTGACAGATTGTTTTCAACTAGACGTGATTCTTCATTCACCCAGATCATTGCAAAACACTTATTTAAGCAACTATTAAAGATCAATACCATATCTTTTACTTTCACTTCTTCGGTCTCAGCCTCCTTCTACCTAACATCCTGTTTAGGATTTAAACATAACTACGACATAAATTATTTCTATCTCGCAAAAGGTTTTCTTTATCCTTTAAATCCAGTTGACATGGTGGTCTTCCGATTGTCCCATTACTAGATACAAAGTGAATCTTCTGCCCTCTAAATGCATTCAAATACCTTCATTACAAATAAGCTAATTTCTGGTTCCTTTCTTATAGAATTAATAAATCCAAACCCCACTGAGATGAGATTAACTACGTTTTGCATGCGCCCACAAAATTTGGCACGGACATAGCCAAAAAACTAGTGCGAAGCTAGGCTCCTGACAAAAAAGATGTCTTTTTAGTATCAATTTTAGTCTCAGTTAAGCGGATGTCATATTTCAACAGGTCATGTACAATTTTCATAGTTAAGCATAGCTCATAAATAAAGGTAGAGGTGAGATGCAGAAAGCGTTACGTTACTGAGGAAACATGGAATTTGAATGTATATGCAGCCGTAAGTATGCACGTCACTCAAGATGTGTGCATTTCTGGTGCTGCAATTCAGCTTATTGGTCTCGTGGCTGGAATTGGAAACCGGCGACCCTGGAGAGCTGTTAAGGATGCTGCACATTGGGGTGTATCAAAGTGGCACTGGAAAGGATGGAGTGCAACAAAGAGGGAATATGCATGGTTGGGAAGTTACGAAGGCGATTGATAGTCTGGTTTTACTGAGTGTATACGGAATATCATCGACCGACAGCATAGAATGAATGAAAGTAAAAGTGTGTTGACTTCACAAATGGCCACAATGTCAAAAGATAGATACAGGGCAAAGCAAACAAAAGAGTGATATATTCAAAGACTTTCTGAAAAAGTAGCAAAGGAAAGGAAATTATAAACCAGCTTTCTCATAGAGGTATTAGCAAGACATGATTGAGACCACAAAGAAAGAGGCTTCAAAAGATTATACATAAATAAAAATGTATCCCCTCTGGAATAGTAAATGGAATGTCATGGACGCTATTACAATCTCATTGAAGATCACTTGGTGTGGGTAGGGTGAATAAGAGTGAGCACGCTTATGAAGTTGGTCTGAGAATAAAAAAAAGATAAACGTCCCTGCGGAGAGGAGGGGCCACATGAAAAGCCCAAGTTGTATCTTCATAAAGACAATTTGGATTTGGCTTACAGTAGCGGTATTGCAAATTAATAGAAACCTTAGTAAACTTTAGGTTTTATATATATATATATATATATATATATAGATGTAGAGACAAAAAGCAGGGCTGTCGACCAATATTGTAGTATGATAAATTGCCAGTCGAGGATAAAAGTAGAGTAAAATACAAAGCACAAAATAGCAAGTCACAGCATTATTTTTAGTGGACGGCCAAGATAGTAAGGCAGCGAACAAATTGGTACACTTGGTGCTTTTCCTGGGCTTGAGAGGCTTGCTCAAGCGGTGAAAGCTTTTATGCATGTATTAGTATGCATATATATGTATACATGCCACTAATAAAATAAAATTTAATTGCACCCTAAATGCCCTTGAGGAGTAACAGGCTGCTAAACATGCGCTATGTGTAGCATCGTGAAGGCACACAAAGAGTGTTTTTCACTACGAATATGAATGTCGAATGCATAGTTTAGCCAGTCCGAAGTTAAAGAAATATTTATTGCAAGATCGAGTGCTGGCGATTTGATCGTCAATAGCATACTACTGTTGAGTAGTATGAAATACATAGCATCGAGCATGGCGTAGTCTAATCAGTATCGCTTGCTAGCAGCAAGCCTTGAAAAGGTGGCATTGTCCCATCAACGTTGACTCTGAGCAGCAACAGCTTGTTCAAGCCTCTGTACACGAAGGAAGCGGATGCACCTGACTGGAAACCTCTTGTAGTCAGGATGAAATAAATCTGGAAAATTATTTTAAAAAACAGTTTATCATTTGCTTAAGAAAAGCTAGGACAAATTTATCTAATTTATTCAGCTTGGCTAATTAGGAGTAACTAGCAAAAAACGGATACTGTACAGGTCTTTATTTCAAACGTCTTTCGACGAGGCGCAACTTATATGAATTCGCGAAAAGCTCAGGACTTCCACGTCCCCAGCTAGGCCACACTTTACAGATTTACATTTGCACCAGATTCTTGCAGTAACTAGCCCATTTGAGCCTTTAGCTAGTAGCTAGTAGTAATAGCCAAATAATTGACGGATAATGTTTTAAAACTGGTTAAGTTGAGCTTAGGCTTACTTGATTCCAGTGTATTTCCAATTGTGCCACAGGAAGGTGTATATCTCCATGTCTTCTGGGGCGATTTGATTGAGTTTCACGCGAAGTGGATCTACTGTGTCGGACAACCCAAAGTTTTTCATAGCGTCGTCGAACAGCCCCGTCCGTATCCCCTGCCTCTGCTGGGGAGTGGCCGTGTAGGTGATCGCTTCACTCGAAATCTTGCTCTCCAACTCCTCATCTTCAAGCTCATTTTTCCTATTTCGCTTCTTTTTCTTCTTTATCCCTTCCTGCTCGGCTGGAAGTGCAATTTCCTCTTGACTTATCTCCTCCACTGCGACCTCACAGTTGTTCTCCTTAACACCTCGCTTTCGCGAAACGGCAGAAGTGGGCGGAGAATCACACAGAGCCTGCAATAGCCGCCGGCCAATCCTACCGCGGACAGTTGACTCGCATGTCGGCCAAATGGCACACTGTCCTTTGTACATTTTCGCTTCGGGTCGTCTCTCCAGTTCGGCCGCAGTCACACCCTCTTGCCCTGAACTAGCGTTGAACGACACGCTATTGTTGCCACCTCGAAGGGCTTCACTGCCTTGGATACAGCCGGAAAAAGGTATCGTGGCCTCGTGAGGGCAGTCCAAGTCCAGTCCACTGGCCTCCAGGTCGGCAGATCTGACCCTGCCGAGGGTCGACTGCTTTCGGCCACTCTTACAGGCTCTCTGCTTCACTGAGGCCTCTAGCGCAACTCTCGTCGATCTGCCTTCGCTACCGTCGCACAGAGACCGCGTCCTGGGCGAGTCGCCGACGGCTTCGGCCGCCAGAACGGTCACTAAGGCTCTGTCCAGACCGGGCAGGGCGGACAACGGAAGGCTGAGCAGACGGCGCGCCAAACGGGCGACTCGAGGGTATCTGGTCGCTTTTTCAGCCCACCACGCCAGGGGATTCTCCTCCAGTCCGATGGGCTCCTCCCGCAAATAGCGATCCACCTCTGAAAGCGAAGTTCGCACGAAAAACTGTAGACCGAATACATTCTCGAGGTCCGCGCTGACGCCGGAGCCAGTCTGGAATCCGGCTCCGCCGTTGGTACAGCTTCTTCCTCCTCCACAGCCGCCTGAAGAACTGCTGCTATCCAAGTCGGCCTCTCCACAGCCACTGATGCCACCATTTGCATGGGTCAACTGCTTTTCCGCTTCGCCAGATGGACATTTGGTCGGGTTAACACTGTTGCAGAAGGTATTCCTTCGTGGAATTGACATCTCCTCCACCTAGAGCATTAGGGGAAAACAAAGCGTTATCATTAGGCACATTTATTCTTATTATGGAGGAAGAATTAATTCCCGATGATGTACCCCATTCAGTTAGTTGGAAACAGGAATTCGTAAATTAATATGAGATGTATTAACCCTATTTAGTCTAAGGTGACGAAGGACTGGTAGTAGAATTTTCCCACAATGATATGAGTTGAGCTGACGTTTCCATTG